CTGTTTTCTTATATATAAGGTGGGATAGAGGCAGGCTTGTAGTGAGGATTAAATGAATAAACACTCATCAAGACTTACCTGCAGCCTTGGCTGACACACAGGAGGTAAGTCTCCCTAGATGTGTTGTCTCCACAGCTGAGGCAATTCCCACCACCCTTGGTTCATAACCCCTTCTCTTAGTGGCAGAGAACTTTGTTCTCTCGCAAGAATGAAGATTATACCCATCTGGGTTAAAATAGAATCACATTATTAATGATTTGGTGGGTTCTTCAGCCCCCCTCAAATTGGGCTGCCACTGATCTGGGAATCTCTTAGGGAAACTCCTGTGAGCTAACAGAAAGTCCTTTGGGGGCTCTGTCCAGGTCTCCTCCAACTGCAAGGCTGGCGAAAGGACTGGATCCTGCAGTGGACAGGTTGTTTCCTGCTGGGGGCCATCTACTGGCTGCAGCATCCTGGGCCTGGCTCTCTCCTCCCTCTCGGGTCTTCAGATGGTGGAAAGATGACAAACCTCCTCAACCCTCACAGTCTAACACTGTTCTGTGTCCTCAAATTCTCACAAAATCCGGAATGAAAACAGCAGGTGCAGCTAGTGGTTTTTGCTTTGTTGGTTTTGTCATTCAAATTCTGTGTGACTAACCCTCCCCTTCCCCCTTGCCACTCCCGTCTGGTCCCAGCTACTTTTGAGGACTCATATGAATCTCTAGCAGCCACATCAGATGACAAATTTGAGTCACAGACACAGAGCTCTAGTCTACTCTCACCTCCACCCCATCTAATAAGTATGATCTAATACTTATTCCATCTACTAGGTATGATGACCTTTTCTTTTTTTATTTTAGATTAATATAAGTGTACAAATGTTTAGGTTACATTATTTTCATTTCTAAAGTAAAGTTCAAGGTTCAAGTTGTAGTTGAGCCCTTCACCCAGGGGACATACTGAACACCCTCCCATTGTGAACATTAGGTGAGATCCCGCCAATCAAGATCCAATCCTTCCCCTTCCCCTTGTCTTCTCCCCTCCCCCTCACTAGACTATACTTTTGTTTCTCTTTTGTGTTAATAAGTATGATGACCTTTTCTTTAAACTCTCCTGGCCCCATGGGTCTCCCAGTCCCAGCTGAATTCTATCATGAGCTTCCCCTGGCTCATACCTGGAGCTCTGCTATTACATATTTTAATATTTCTGAGTTAGTTTCAACACAGGGCCTTACTTATGGCAGAGAAAATAGAAAATTAAACTAGTTAAGGCAAACTTAGGCCATGATTACATCTCATCTGTGCTGCTTTTTTGACATATAAATGCATATAAATGCATGACACTTTGATTGCCCTCCATAATTTTCAGAGAAAATGAATATAAATTCTTTGAAAAAGAAGACAAGTAAATAAAAGCAGTTTTAGTGCATGATTCATTAATTGGAAAGTGGATTATTGTTAAGAAACGTAGCCATTGTTTATTTTTTCTATGACAAAAGTACATGAGGTCTACTCTGAAAACAGGTGCCTGGCACCAAGTGGGCATTTGGTGAACTGTGTCTCTCTTTCCCTCCCTTCTAATCAGCTCATTTGTTAAAACTCAATTAATGTCCATGGGAGGATTTTTCCTGGTATAATAACATGATTTTATTTTTTGGCCACCTTAAACACATATTTGATCATTCAATGAATTGCTCATTGAACCCACAGAGTACTATTTTAACTGTTGCTTATAATAGAGGCACGATGACTTCTTTCCAGAGAATGAGGGGCTTTGGAAGGTCTGAAATTTAAGGAAAGTCTTATATAACATGTTTGCAAATCAATTGACTTTTAGGTCTCAAAACTGGAGAACCATATTCGTTTAAAGACACAGTAAGAGGGTAACTACATATTTCAATCAAAACAAAAATCCAAGTTTGCTTTTAGAAGCACAATAAATCTACATAAAGTAGCACCAACAAACAACAAATTTTTGACTGTTTTTTTTCTTCATTTTCCTACTGGTTATTGAGTTGTTTCAATAGATTGGACTTAACTTTTTTCTTAATTCCATCTCAAATCCAAAAGAGTTACATTGAAAAGAGACCCAAACGGGTTTCTCACAGTCATGTTGAAAAGGCAGGAGAACAGACTCACTTTCTGGCCTACTCTTCTCTTACGGGTATTCTGCCAACCACTTTCCTCACATCATCTTATCTAACCTTTATTAAAACTTGAGAAGCTGAGGCAAGAGGATCACTTGAGCCCAGGAGTTTGAGGTTGCTGTGAGCTATGATGCCACAGCACTCTACCAAGGACGACAAAGTGAGACTGTTTCACAATAACAAACAAACAAAAAACCCAAAACACTGATAAACAATTCCCTGTGTGCTTCTCATTACACATTTGAGAGAACTGATGCTTACAGATGTGTAACTCAGCAAAAGCCACCCAGAAGCTGTAGATAGTGGATTTGAACTCAGGTTCTGTCAGAACTCAAAATGTATGCTTTCACAGTGGTTTTAGGTAAGATAAATGTTTTAGTCCTTTCTATAGTGTGTGTCTTTGAGGCTTTCCTCTCTCAGCCTTGTTAATCATTTATCAGCCACTCAGGCATTTCTCTTCATGAAAGTGCTCCAGACAGATCAAATAACAGAAGAGTCTACTTTAGCCATTTCCTCAGTTGACCTTGTGTTACTCAGTATCATGAAGGGAGGAAAGTGCATTTCTAACCACTGCTCAGCCTATGGAAAGTGAAGCACAAGGGACTGTTTACAAGGGTGTCATTTGCTGGGTGTCCCAGCGTTCCAGCCTTATAAGCTCAACAGTCAGCTTGTCCAGATAAGGTGGACTTCGTTTTCATACCTGTGTCCAAATGCTTGCTATGGCATCTTAATGTACCTCCTTGGAAGAGACCTTGGGACTGATTTTTCAATTTTTTTTTTTTTGAGACAGAGCCTCAAGCTATCCCCCTGGGTAGAGTGCTGTGGCATCACAGCTCACAGCAACCTCCAACTCCTGGGCTTAAGCGAGTCTCCTGCCTCAGCCTCCCAAGTAACTGGGACCACAGGCGCCCACCACAATGCCTGGCCATTTTTTGGTTGCAGCCATCTTTGTTGTTTTGGTGGGTCAGGGCTGGATTCAAACCTGCCACCTTAGGTGTATGTGGCTGGCGCCTTAGCCACTTGAGCCACAGGCGCTGAGCCGATTTTTCAATGTTTTAATGGAAGTGATATTTTATAGCAAGGCAGGAGAATATATCTCACCCCAGAATCCCATGGGCATTTAAATAAAGAAGAAGCTCAAATTGAATCTTCATGATTTCTTTTTTGTTTGAGACAGAATCTCATTCTGTTGCTCCAGGCTAGAGTGATGTGGTGTCAGGCTAGCCCACAACAATCTCAAAATCCTGAGTTCAAATGATCCTCCTGGCTCAGCCTCCCGAGTAGCTGGGACGATAGGTGCCCACCACAAGGCCCAGCCTATTTCACTATTTTTAGTAAGACAGGGTCTTGCTCTCATTCAGGCTGGTCTCAAATTCCCAAGCCCAATGTATCTTCTTGTGTCAGCCTCCTACAATGCTAGGATTACAGGCATGAGCCATGGCGCCCAGCTCTAATCTTTGTGAATTGACTACTATTATTCACGTTTTGCAGATTAGAAAGGGAGACAGGAACGAGTAGCTTGCCAAA